CAGCACACAAGGCCTAGGGTCAATCAGCACACAAGCCCCACTGTGAATTCAAGAGTCCTGGTGGCCACTGGACTCCAGTTGCCAGACCAGGTGCCTTGCAGAGAGGAGCACTGAGCTGCCAGCCACACCCACCTTTCTTGGTGATGGCGAGTCGGATTTTCACAGTTTCGTGTAAGTGGCAGTAGTGGTGGTGGAGACTACAAGAATATGTGCCTTCATCACTCTCTGCAACACCTGGCACAAGGGAGAGAGAGGAAGCTGAGTGCTTTATCCTGAGACACTGATTTTGTCATTCGTGCCATTTCCCAAATGCTTGTACAGATGCAAAAGGGCTTTTATGTAACTTAGTTCTAACCCACTCTTATCACCAGGACAGGCTGACCAGGGAAAACTCAATATAATAATTTGCTCTGTTTATTTGCTCTTGTGTGGAATGTACTTGTATTAACATGGAAAAAGAAAGCTGACTTAAGTTTAGCTAAGAGCAGGCACAGGGAGAATAACAGTCCTGGGTTTCTAGTTCAGGAACTGAAGGACAGTCAAAGGGCCACGAGATGCCCAAGTGACTTTCAGGCCATGAGTTACTAATTCTCTTTTAAAATGGGACTGTTTCAAAGTGATATAAAACACTACTGCTAGTGCTTTAGAGAACCTCATTAAACTGCTATTTGTTTCTAGAAAACGCTCTGTAAAATAGTTTTTCATTGAAAAACACAAAGTTGACTGTCCTGGTTCCATGTAAAAAGGGGTTCAGGGCAGGACCCACATGGAACAGAACTATGTACTCGCCTCTCTCCCCCCCGAGAGAGAGAGAGAGAGAGACACTTTGGGAAAAAAATGAAGTATATTGTTCAACAAGGAACAGAAAACGAAAAAGGGAGGTAAGGAAAATAATATATACAAAGATTAGGGGAAAAATACAAACAATAAAGTATACAAAACCCTCAGAAATGGTTCCAGGGTCCCACGGAGTGAAAGGAGAACTTTCCGAGCTCCAAGGCAGGAGTGAAATTAGAACCCACTCCCTGCCTCTTATCAGAGTGTGTGAGGGAAGGGGATGGAATACAATGGTTCACCCCCACCCGGGGTCCTCCCAGTTGCTAGAAGGTCCCGCCCCTATTCCAAGCCTCAAACCACTGACTTGGCTAGGAACCCTCCATCCTGCGGAGTGCGGTACCTTTGATCACCAAGGAGAAGTTGCCATCCGTAAAAGCACTCTGGGGCATGAAGATCCTCCCCTTGTTGTAGGAGTTGTACACACGCTGCTTCCCAGCCGAGTACATGTCACACAGCCTCTCCATCCTGCCCTCCCCGGCGCGGGTGCTGAGCAGGTCCCAGTGCACCACGCGCTGGCGGTCGCGGAGCCGGTCCTGGGTCCAGACGATGCGGTGGCTCCTGCAGGGCAGCAGGGCCTGGGTGCCCAGCGGGGCGCTCACGTTCAGCACCGACACCACCACGCTGGCGGGGTTGGAGGCGTCGGCGGGCACTGAGGGACAAAAACCAGAGGCACCAGGTTCAAGGCATGGGAAGGAGACACTACAGGAGGACTCAGAGCTGTTTCAGAATCTCTGCACACCTTCCAGCCCCTAAAAAGATAACTTTTAAGACCAACAGGGTCAGACGCTGGAAGCACGAAACCAGC